ACGCACATTTCGTTGCAACAACTATTTTCTCATCCTGTGAAAGCTCCCTTCCATTTCATTAATCTACATTAATTTAATCTACATGATATAAAGGCGTAAACACAGACGAGGTTTTATGCACTAATTTGTCGAAAAATGCCTCCTCGAACTGAAGAAAGCTCACATTTAAGAGTTCGTAATTAGCTTGCTTGCCATTAACCGTTCTTACAATAAAACCTCCCGTAGTAATTTTTTGTCATTTTAAGTCTTTTTTTGTGTTTGTTTCGAAACCAAATAGCGAACGCTATCATAACAAAGTGATTAAAGAGGGCTTGTCACGAGAGGATATGTTGCAGTTTTAGTTCAATTCTGTACTGACGTCATTACTTAGAGCCTTTACCCATACACAAAGTACTCCTGTAGAGTTATGAAGAAGACAAAACTAAAATCACAGGGAGCATTTAAACCGTTATAATTTTGTTGGTGACTTTTGGGGAGAGTTCTCGATTGATGTAGGTGGGCGGCGATGATGATTTCTAATGTTATCCCTTAAATCTGAGTAAATACAAGCGTTCGTTAAATAACAATACTTCCTTCAAATTCAGCATACAATCCTAGCTACACGCTATGCTGAAAACTATAAAAACATGTTACACTGTCAAAAATTATGATCATCTACCGCTGTCAAACAACACAACCTTCGCCAACGGATAGGGCTAGTTGATGATTTTCCTGGTCCTAAAAGATATGTACCTGAATTCTTATTCAAGGGTTCCTGTTTTCAAGGAATGTTGGCTTTTTCAGAGAGGTGAGGACAATTTCTATCTTAAATGGGTTGAAAATATTGTGATTCAGTTTTACAAATTGAAAAACCCTCCCCATGTAAGGGAATTCTAGACAGTCTTGGATTCTGGATCCCAAGCTGAGGATTCCAGATTCCAGGCACCGGATTCTGGTTCTTTGTTACCTGTATATTCTAATCGTTGGCGGGATTCCACAGCTGTTGTTTAATATAGCTTTTAACAGTCTATCAAACTATGAACGAGAATGACAGGTAGATTTTATCTGTTGGCATAATCGACGACCTACACAAAATACTTTCTAAGAGATCTGAATTCACGCTGTTAAGGTTCCCCCTTTCTAAAAAGTTCCATCCCAGAATTTCTGTTAAATTGAAAATATATACGTACTCTCATGAATACCCGTCGCTCATCTCTTCTGTTCTGTTTCCCCAAAACGTCGAGATTTGCAGATGGAAAAAAACTGTCCGTTGTGTGTAACGTTTGGCAGAGCATAAAAACGAAACTGAGTACGACATTTTTTGGTGTAAAAACTAAACAAACGGGCAAAAAATATGCATATCATATGTTGTTTTTTGCGCGCAAATACTGTTATCATTATTTTAAATCCGGCTCATTTGGTCAGGCTTTTCGGAAAATTATCGTGACCCCTTTGATTAAAGTGAGGTAAGTGCCGCGATCAATTTTGTTTGAAATTTGAACTCTTCTTACGCCTGTAGCACCATGAGAAAGTAGTATTTTATCTTTTTTTC